TTTGTAAAAACTTGCAAAATACTGTGTAAAATTAAGAAATGTATTTTTCTGTTGTTTAGTTTATTTATATCTTATATATAAAATTCTCGAGTTAGAAATTTAGCTATTATACTCCTCCGCAACAACTTGACCGATTTTTATGAAATTTTGTACACATATTCAATTGATCTGAGAATCGGCTACTATTTATTTTTTTACATCTCGCGGACAGAGTCGCGGCCGACAGCTAGTAGCTTAGCCTATAGATAACACAAACCTTATAGACATTATACAAAACGTAAAACTTTAGCAAATGCCAATTCATTGTTTTGAAGAAAGTACGGAGGGAAAGAATTTCCCTGACTCATTCAAGTAATTTATTCCACTTCTTTGCTGTTTCTTACAAATTAAAAAAGGGACAGTACTTTTTGCGTTGCATAAAAAGTACAACAGACCATGGTGAAGAAACTTGCCCTTTATCAGCATGCCGATATAACAGGATGAAGCTAAAGGACACATTTTACGAATGTTTGGATGGATGGATGTTTGTTAGTAGGTATCTCCAGAATGGCTGCATGGATCTTGCACAAATTTAACATAGAACATAGACTAATAATTATTATTTTTTCTTGCGGACGGATTCGCGGGCGATAGCTACTTTTTTATATCATAAGATGGCAAAAGAGCGAGCGACCACCTGAAATCGCTGAAATAGCGAAGTGACCATTGCCCATAGACATACGCGAATGCATATGCGTTGCCTACCTTTAATCGACGGAGGATAGGATGAACAGAAAGAAAATATTTTCCCTTTCCATGCATCCTCTCATCCGGAAAGTCCACTTCCACTTCCCATCCTACAGGCTACATGGATCTTGCAGAAATTTGACATAGAACAGAGACTAATAATTCAGTTTTTTTCTCTCATTAGCGGGCGATAGCTACCCTTATATAATAGCGTAGGTTTCGATGTATAGTCGAGTGGTTTTGATAGAGATGTATACAATAGGAAAATCCTCTCCTTGCCTATAAAATGTAGGAAACGCATCTGCTACCTGCTTACTATAATTATAGATTCATACAAAATAAAATCCATTTCATATTCAATGAAGTAACGTATATTTACTTCAAAAAATTCTTAATCAGTATTGCTGAGTGAAAATCACTGACTTGACAAAGACAAGATGTTTTTTTTACCGACTTTAGTGTTGTTATTTTCAACGCATGCGGTACCAGATTCAGTATCGAAGTATAATAGGGCTGTCACGTCTACTTTTAGCACAACCCTAGCTTGCGGCGGGCACACGACCGCGCCATCTGTAGTCACGTCACACGTCGTCCCGGCTCATCCATATTTTTTAGCCGCGCCTTTGTGACGCGCCCGCCGTGCCCCCCCCCGCGACCCCCCGCATACCCCGCTCTCGTCAACCAGCCTGCGCCCGCAGACATTTCCCGCCATACCACTTTATGGCTAGGGTTGGTGCGATGCAAAAATATCGATTTTGTATTCAAATTTTTATAGCTTGGCTCAAATTCTGTAAATATGTGACTGCAATTTGTTATAACTAAAAAAAAAAAAGAAACCACTTTATAAAATTCGATGCATTGCAAATTTTTATATTTTACTAGTAACAGATTTCATATATAATAATTTAAGCAAATCTAATTAGAAGAAACTGTTGGTTTTTGAGATCAAAATTTCTATATAAAACATAATATCTTCATCAGTGTTATTATCTTTGACCGTGGATTTTAGTCTTAGAAACCGGTAAGTAATTCATTAAATAGTTTATTATCAATTTGTTTGCGTTATCTTAATATCGATATAACTTAGTACATCCTTATTCGTGTGAAATTTACGAGGGGTCGCGTTTGCGAGTCGTCGGGAGCGACTGGGAGGCCCGGGACCGATTTATGACGTCATTTTTACAATGGCCGGACTGCAGCCGGAGGATCGCCGGACGGGAATCGGGACTTTGCCGGCTTTCCCACTGTTTAGAGGTGGTCGAATCTTTTCAATCGTTTAATTAATGCCCTCCTGCATCTTACCCGTTTCGATTTTCGTTTGGAAATTAGAGTGTTTTATTTCTTAAATGTTTTGATTTTATAATTTTATATTAAAAATAAATTTTAAATGTTTTTAAAATCATTTCATTGTCTTTTGTGTGATCTTACGAAGGGGAATTACAAATTTGACGCTGAAAGTATCCTATCTTTTCAAATTTTTATCTTCATTTATATAAAAACGCCAACATATGTATTGCTAACTTTGTATGTCAATTTATGTAGACATACATACAACATACTATGTGTATGTGTGAATGTGTGATGTGAGCACGCTAGCGCCCCCTGCGGGCGAGATATGACGCGAAGTAATTTAATTGCTCAACAGCTCCTCGGTTCCAGCCCCTGCTTCTCGGAAACACCGCTTCTAAGATTATCATCCCAAATACGCTATGTTAGAACTATGTTACTTCTATTTAATATTCCTTGTTCCAATGTAAAGACTAACCTTAGGTTTCTGAAAACAAAACCTCTATAAAACATGTCTTCATCTTGTGTTTTGAAAGAAGAAGCAATATGTTTTAAAGGAAATTTTGGTTTCAGAAACCCACGATAAATATGTTATATGTTATTTTGAATACCATCCGTCCATTTATAATTTGCCTAGGAAAGAAGGAAAGAATCGTCTTTTCGTTGGCGTATCGATCAAAATCGTCAAAATCGAAAAGGAAATCGATATAATCGATAGCAGTGACCAGGGCGGCATACGTGACAGGAGGTCGGCTGTCATATCACGTATTCGTTCGCCATTGTTGTACCGCAACACGAATATAAAATGGCGTACGCGTTTGTTAGTTTTCACACGAAACACTGTCGAGTATTGTGTAGGATATTTTCTGAAATGGACCAAAAATCGGTCCCTTAATATCCCAGTAGATCAAAAGAGTGTCGCTTTGGGACAAGATCGTTTTACAGACATTTTCAATCGTAGAGAAATTTTGTTTTGTATCTGATATGATTTGATAATGTAGTTAAATTGAATAACGTGACATATTACTAGCCACTGCCAGCGACTTCGTCCAAAAAATCCAGAAAAATCTAGTAATAAATAGCCTATGTCACCCAGGATTAGTGTAGCTTCCCAGCAGGAAGGCTCAGTACTTTCGGAGCATATTCATAGCAAAGAAATAATCAAATCTTTCCTTTTTATAATACTAGCATAGATTAAGTAAATTCTAGTAGTATTTTCCAGTCACCAAATCATTAAAACAACTACGTATTTTTAAAACACGAATATCGGTTATCTCCGTTAAACAGTGACCAACAAAATATGTATAAGATAAGCAGCTTTTCGGATACGGATATCAGAAATTAAACGAATAGCAATTAGGCAATGGTCCTGTGATTATATTAATATTAAACAAAGCGCAGACAGTGCCTCAAAGTGCGCAAATTTTGCCTCAAAGCGCACGAACTGTGCCTCAAAGTGCGCGGACTGTGCCTCAAAGTGCACGAACTGTGCCTCAAAGTGCACGAACTGTGCCTCAAAGTGCGCGGACTGTGCCTCAAAGTGCACGGACTGTGCCACAGAACCTTAGCGCCTCGGCGGCTGAGCGCCTCAGTGCTTCACCGATTGAGCGAGGCTCGGAGTCTCTTTAATAAACATGAGGCGCGGCGCAGCTAATAATAAATGAGCCGGCGCAGCGGCCCGCTAGCGGCGTGCTAGGGTTGTCAATTATTTACTATTACGACGATTTATTATTATTAATTTTAATAGAAAAAAAACTGACGTACACATTTATAGTGAACTTTACACCTTTGGAGGAAAAGGAGTTCTAAAATTTATTTATACACTGAAGAATCGATACCTGATTAAGTGAGTGAAGCCGTTTTCATTTAGTTACAAACTAGCTGTTATACGCGTCTCCGTTCGCACGCAATTAAAAAAAAATTTAATGAGTATATGTTCTTTCACTATATTATAAATCTATGTCAAATTTCTTCAAGATCCATGCAGAAGTTCTGGAGATACTTTCAAACAAATCTCCATCCATCCAAACATTCGCATTTATAATATTAGTAAGATACTCGTAATATAAGCTTGACAAAAATACTTATTTTAATGTTATTGATGAAAATTTAAATTCAAAATTGAATCTTATTGGTATCCTTAAAGTGCTCCAGAACAGACAAATGGGCGAATATCGCGATTAACTGTATGTCTTAGATATCTCACAAGAGTTAACTTTGTTCGTTGAATATGTTGATTTATATAATAGCGGTGGTACAGGTGAACACTTTTGTAAAACATTACATTAAACGTATATATTTCTTCTAGTCATTATTACAATTCAAGCGTAAACGGATCACATTATGACCAAGAGGCTCGGAGCCATCCCAAGTTAAGGATGACGAGGCCATAGTCAACCACACAGGCCCCTTGCAGATTCAAACTTTCGATTATTTGCAGGTTGAGTATATATGAAATTTGAAATTCGAAACACATTGGTTGGCGGGGATTGAACCTGAAGGTGTAGTAGATCCAGACCGGTCAAGCGCCTAATTATGCCATCGACGCTGTTCAGCAGTTTGCAGACAGAAGTAGAAAATTCTGCCGGCATATTTAAACCGTTTAAAGTTGCTCATACCAATTGTTGGAAGAGTTTTTATATAAGCCGTTTTTAAGGAACCTTGAGATTTTTTTTTAATATTATAAGGTGGCAAACGAGCAAATTGCAGATGTGTTGCCTACCTTTTATAGACGGAGGAGGAGACGCACAGAAAGAGAATATTTTCCCTTACTATGTGTCCTTTCCTTTGTCCATTCATTTCATAACACTCTGTAAAGGAAATTAGACTGAAATTGCTGAAAACAATATTACAAGAGACAATATTAATCAAGAATGAAGAACTAAGATTACGACAATAAGAGCGTTCTTTAGACTAGATTTTTCTTACTAAAGATACACTAAGGGACGTTTTTAATGATCATTAATTGACTGAGTGTGAGGTCTCACCTTAAGCGGCGGCGTAGGAATATAGAGAGGAGGATCATTCTGCGATCCGCTGTATATCTCCAAGCCGTCCGGCGTCCTCGCGCAGCCCTCAGCATCAGCCACGCTGTACCGGCATACAATGCCGTCCGCCGGCTTTGCTTCGTACCCAGGTGGTTTACCCACATAGAAACCTTTCGCTTTTACCCAGAAACGGAATTTTGAACTATCAGAACTGTTACATTCCTCCCCGCGAAGTGTACGCAGGATTCTTGCATACTTTTTCAATGTAATCGTCTTTGTTTTAGCTAAATCTCCATATGTTTGTATTACCCAAGGCTGGTAAGTCGAGAATAAATCCAATTTAGGATCTCCTGTTTGTATTTTAGGACGTTTATTATTGTTCTGTTCGTTTTTCTTGTCTTTAGAACTGCTCGGAGTCGATTTCCTTTTTGAAGGTTTCCGTGGTGTTTTCTCGGGTATAGCCTCTTGGGTTAGTTTTTTACGTAGTCCTCGATCACTTATCATGGCTGCGGCCATATTAAGTTTACCACAATAATGTTACAGCCACATTTTTATAACAGAAAATATGGTTTTTAAACTGGTAACACTTGTACACTTTAAATCCATGTGCAGTCCTGTAATACACAAATAAAATCGAAAATTGCTTCCAATACTTTGATGAAGTTAAATTCGGATTCGGAAGTTAGTAGGTAGATAATGGCGGAAAAGTTTTTGGTAACTTTTGACTGGTAAGTTTTTGTCGGCCGAAGCGAGTATTGAGGAAAGTTTCTTAGACTTAAGGATACAATGATTAAGAACTCTTAAGACTTCATGTTTTTTAATGATGAAAATAATTGTACATTCGATTTGATGAAGTTACAATATCTTTAATATATATTTTTTTAATTTAATAAAAATAGTTTATAGAAACTTTTAAAAGTTTTAATATTAAAAATAAACGTCAAAGTATGTTAAAAAAAATTTAAAGTACAATAAAGAAAGTGTTTTGTAAATAAAAAGTACCGGATAGCAAGTTTGCGAACGAAATATGAACGTCGCGTAGTTGACGCGCAACAACACGGGGCACAAGCGGTCGCGTGCAGCGCGCGGTAAACACTGGCGGGCCACCGCGCTCCGGCTCTATAGCTCTATCGCTGGCTCATTCGTCCGCTACGTCTGGCTCATTGGCTCGCGTTGGCTCATTCGGCACGTGCGGCTCGGCGCGGGGACGCTAATTGCCCGCAAAACAATCGCCGTCGCCGCGGCCCGTGGGGCGATACCGGCCCGCTCTGGCTCGTTCGTCCTTCGCTGTAATGCACCTATTGTTATCAGATTCCTATGCGGTTGCTACTCTCGCGCTTGTTATTCTACGCCACTTTTGAAATAATACACTCTGGCATGTGAAATAGGCATATATTCTTTGACAAACTTTATCTTTTGTTGTGCATTGTACTTTTGATATTTGAAAATGTTTTCTTCCTTCTTGTTTGTAATTTTAGCTATATCGAATAAATGACCGGAATTACTTTAAAATTCCCTCTTTAGATGATAAAACCACGAAACTTTATGTACTACTCGCTGTCGCCCGCAACTCCGTCCGCGAGGAATTAAAAAAAAAACTTGATTAGTAACCTATGTGTTCCTCCCGGCCATGTTCTACATCTATTCCATATATTAGCCATATTTCAGCAAGATCCATGAAGCCTTTCTGGAGATACCTTCAAACAAACATCCATCTATCCATCCAAACATTCGCATTTATAATATCAGTATGAAGTAAGAGTACCTTCAGATGACCTGTTCGAGGTTGCGGGAGCGTCCTGGATGCAAGTAGCATAGGACCGGTCATCGTAGCGATCTATGGGTAAGGCTTATGCTATGCAGTGGGCGACTCATGACTGAACAAGAACAAGACAAAACTAACTTCATCTTTAGGTTATAATTTTTTTTTGTAGTATCGTACTCCTTACAAAAACCGCGCTTTATAGCCATAGAAGTTTTAACTACTGTACAGTAGAAAAATAAGTTAAAGGACAAATAATAATAAAAGACAATCGAACTAGCGAGACTTGACTAGGTGCATTCGCTTTGAAGCGAGTCAATAACGAATTAAAAAAAAGCGAATGCACTGTGTCTAGCCCTGCTGATCGACAGCTTACGAATAGCTTATTCTTACTAATGTCTACAGAGTAGCCAGACCTGACTTTGCGTGTATACAACTATACTTATGCCAACATACAATAGTTTTTACAACACCTACGCTGCGCCGCGCTGTACGTGTTTTTGTATTGTCAACAAAATTTAATTTAAATAAAAATAGACTTAAACACATTTCAATAAAGTTCAGATTTTATTGTACATTTAATTCTTATCCAAGTTAAACTTTCCTATAGAATCCATTTTAAAATAGACTTTAACGCTCTGCAATAGAGTTTAAATACAGTTATAGCAAAATAATGTTAGGGCGTTATAAAATTGGGGATGTGAAGCGCGCACGCGCATCGTAATGGGTGCGCGTTGGGCGGACGCTTGCGCGAAGTGTGCGCATGTTACTAGGCGCTCATAACGTTAATGGAGGCCGAGAAGCGTTGGCACGCAATGGCACAAGAGAGTCGGTCTGGTTTGTTGTGCTTTCTCTACGGGAACTAAAATTTACATGTAACTACGCAAAGATTCACAAGTTTTTTTCTTTTTGTATTTAATTCATTATCAATAATGATTTGTAAAAAAATACTAATTATTGCAAACAATGCATTTTTATTAGGAGCGTCGGTGGCTCAGTGGTCAACACTTAACTTGCAATCTGCAGGTCCTGGGTTCGAATCCCGCCATGTACCAATGTGTTTTTCGATTTCCGATTTACGACGACGACGACGAAGACGTTACGATGTTTTTATGGTGAAGGAACATATCGTGATGCATCCTGCACATATCTGAGAAGAAATTCAAATATATGTTTGAAGTCAACCCGCACTTGGCCAACATGGTTGACTATGGCCTAATCACCTTTAACTTAGGGTAGGCTCCGAGCCCCTCGGCGGGAAAGTATAATGAGCTGATGATTATGATGATTATTTCCTATTTTCATTTTATTTAAACTAAACAAAGTTCAACTGAGCGAATCAACATGACTTGAAAATCAAAAACAACGCAAACGTTACGTTACGTCATTACTTCCACGATGTACCAGGGCCGCATAAATGATAGAGAGCAACTTTAATTACTTTGTATGAAACGTTTTTGTGATACAACAACAGATGGCGTTCTACTCTATTCATATTGTTCAATGATTTTATATAGTAATTTTGTTAATAAGTTACCGAGCATTGTTCGTATTTTTCTTAAAACAATACGAACAGCTGTAAGTTAACATTTAAAAAATCGTTCAATGATATTATTTAGAAAGTTTACTAGAAGTACCATCAAAAAATAATTTCGGAACAATGTCTTTTGTTCATTAGAACATTGAACAAACCACATTGGTCGGAGAACACTTCTGGAACGTACTAGGATATCATAGAGATACAACAAAATTATGTAACATTTCATTTTCTAGTTACCAGAGTAGCAGAAATGATAGCAGCGTGTCACTTGCATAAGGATGTCAAATGGTTAATAATTTTACAAAGAACAGTTGCAAATAACACTATGTGAAAATATATTAGCGGCTTTTTTTGCCTTATAATGTTGAAATCAAATTTTAATCAAAATTAAAATAAAATTTATATTTTTAATAATTATGTGCAATATCAGGGCACACACAGCTGTTTATCATTAATAATTTACACTAAACAAGTATAAACGATTTTCAAAATAATTAGAAAGCGTAAATTAAGATTAATAGTGTTAGAACGATTGGAAATATCTAGAAGGGCATTCCCTAGTGCGGGATGCAGCGGCCCACATCTGTCCAGTGATCGATTATTCCTATTATTTTTAATTCTGACCATCTGCAGAGGTTAACGATTTAATGAACTTAGATTCTGTTCTTTACCAGCTATTTTATTTTATTTTATTATAGACATGCCCAGTATCTTTGGTTTTTATTAAAAACTACTAAGCGACTACGTCTTTTGCACATGACGAAACTATTATTTACTTGTCGAAAGTAGTTATTTGTACAAATGTATTTAGTTTATGGTTTAAAGTTATAACTCAAATCGTTAACGCAAGCAGTTATTTATAACCGGTTTCGCTGAGGTGTTAATGGCCATCACTATGTGGGTCATATTTACGTCCGTGTGATGACGGCACCCTCCCCCACGTCCCTTTTGCCCCGCGACAAAAGTGAGATCACCATATGAAGATACTCGCCAATGTATGTACAGTCATCAACACATTCATATCGTGACAAAGGATACTACCAAACTAAATGAAGTAACTACCAAAGAACGAAAAACTAAAATCCATTTTTAATGTACTTATTAGAGAAGTATCGCACTTATTCAGAATGATACGAAGTCGCTTTTCCAATGTATTTAATTTTAAAATGTTTCTAATCGACAAAAAAAATCTGAGAAGCTTTACGACGCTGAGCGTACTTAAAATATCTTATCATTTGACGCGTCGCGGCTTACTCCACTTCACTCCTGCTCCTCTGGTACTCGCTTACATTTATGTAAGTGTCAAAGTCAAGGGACCATGTAATTTTTTATCTGTTTTATTTACGAAGTTTTGTTGTTATTTACCAATTATTTATAAAAGAGCAAAGGGACTTAAATATTTAAAGAAACATTCATCATTCCGTATGATTATTAGCGAATAATTAATTAGATAAAATCTTGTCGATAATCTACGCGGATGTAAAAACAAAGCTTTGTCAAATATTAATTAAAAATATATGACGAATTTTACGTTAAATATTTTAAGAACTAATCCTAAATCATCTCGTATGTTTTTTTTATTTTAAAGTTAGATTTTTTGATGTATGTAACCATATACATAATTCCATTCTGTTCTTCAAAATTAACAACATTTCCATGGTGAAGATTTAATTTTCACGGTTAAGGCATCGAAAGTTTTCTATTATTCGATGTGTCAGCAAATATCGTTACTAAAAGAGTTTCCAATGCGGAAAGTTTAAAATTGGACGCAAGATGCTGTTGAGTTAAAAGACCGTATATAAATGACCTTAGGAGAAAATGACAAGAGATTTTTTTCTTCTTCATAAAACTGAGAATTTTCGTCCACAACACCAGATTTTTTCCAATTAAAAAATCATCAAAGAATCTGAAGACGTGCGTGTGAAAATATTATTATCACATCTATTTTCAAACACAATGAGAGGGATAACAATATGTTTTTATACAAGTCAATGACAACCGAACGATGGTTAATGTAAAAATTACATTAAATAAAAAAAAAACATGTAGTGTAAACAAATGATCGCGAGGCGTGTGTACCAGGGCGACAGCGGTGGCGGGCGGTGTGCGGCAGACGTCAAGTAAATTAGGCGCGCGTTGACTGCTGGCTGCCCCCCC